GAAATGGTAGTTTCGAGCTACATAAACCCTGAATTGCAGAGTGATCCCTCCAAAAAACTCAGCTTTGTTCTGAAGAGGGCACTATAAACAACGATGAGTATTCAGCTTTAATACCCTTTCGGTGTCTAGCTGGCAGGACACCTGAGGAAGGCTTGAGGAATGGTGTACTACCGGTTTACCAAAGTCCAGACAGATGCTAAGGTTGGATTCGAACCACGGACCTTTTGTTCGGTAAGTGGGCACCATTACCACTGAGCTGTCAGGCCTACCACAGTGAAGCAAATGCATCAAAGTCTATTCTGGTAGCCAAGTGGTCTAACCCAGGTTGAGAAACGCAACAAAGTTCAGCGTATGAATCCGTGACTCCTTGGTTACACGCGTAGGAAGATTGGTGGTTTCATGTGTAGACCATTCACTTAATAAAGGGCCTTCAAGAGGTCCGTTGTGGCTGTACCAAGTAATCTATCCTGATGTCATTCAGCACAGTGTCCATTAAGTTCACGAACAATCGATCCAGTTATTGATTGGAGGAACCTGTGCATCCATAATCCCAACCAAAGCAATGGATCCGATCTTGCCGATCTCTGATCATTTTCACAAAACGCAGTCCGCTGAAACTTAATTAAATGAAGATTTCGCTCTCCGAAGCGATCATGATCACGATTAGTCCAGCTGATTTGTCCCTCTAGAGGAGAAAAAGCCATCTGAATTTCTCCATAACGTCTATGTTCTGCTCTGTAACTCAGGTGGACTTGCTAAAAGATTTCGCGAATGATTTTTTCATACGTCTAGTACGTATTTTTACTGACGAAAGGGAAGAAAAAAGCTTGGATAAGGTTTTAAAAAGCCAGTTAAGTGGAAATCAACGAAGGCATTTTTCTGTGGCTTCTAATTGGACAAATTTCCTGAAAACCAAAGAAAGTTTTAAAAATTTCTGGGAAAACTAAGCAGTTTGAATGGACACGAAAAATTGTTTGAGCGACCACGTGATGCAGAGGAAATCCGGAAACCCAAATCGGACTGGTTGCGACGAGTACACCCATTTGCAGATCAATTTGGTGTATTTCTCGAAAACAATCCCATTTGGGTTCAAGTAGCTCATAAGGTTGACGGAAGCTCAGGGACTGCGCTGCGTCTACCTGATGAGCCCCAAGAAGGGCGAAACCGGTCGTGGGCTGTCGAAGAGTTTTCAGCAACCTTGTGAGTAGTTTCCTTTATTGTTATTCCATGGTTCACTGCTTAAACACTCAACCTGAGAATAACGTTCTGATGTCTGGAGGTGTAGGCACCTCGGAATGATTGTGTTAAGCTAGCACTAAGTCCCTCCCCCATCCACCTTTATTCTTTTCTTCACAATAAGGCTTTCAAATAAGTCATGGTTGTACGGCAGTGAAGCATTGGTGTTGAACACTGATGTCATGCTGTCGTTGATGATGATGATGATGAACGTTTTGATGGCTAGTTTCGATAAAAACCGGAAAGTATCTCAAACTTGACATTCCCAAGTTTGTCTCGGATTATCTTTGCTTTTTTTTATTGCAACATGAAATGAAACGAACTGCGGGTAAAACTAATTTATTACTTACTTTGTTTACTCTTTCCCCTAGTGCTGTTCTAGGGCTCTTATCTCTGCTTGGTTCAAAAGGTAAATATTGTACGAAATCGATTATTTGCTCGGGAAACCGCAAACTTTACTCGTAGCTGACCCTATACTAACCGTTGATCGGCTTGATTTGATGTATAATAAAACCTTAGTCCGTTCGGTGGTTCCTTCCCAGTTTGATGGCTTGAAACTTCATTAGGACATCCTCTTATAAGTATATATCGGTTATGTTCGCGTTGGGTTCCAATTCCATCCCACCGAATTAACTTATACACGTGACCAGTAGGGTTTAACCTTTGTGGTTATGCTAGCTCGATCTGTTCAACAGTGGTGGTTGGATAGTTGAACGAGGGAAATAACCGTTCTCCACTGCAAAAGTCGCAGATTTCCGTACACCACATTTTCCATCATTTTCCGTCACCCAAAACTTTTTTGTTCATCTCGGAACCTGCCTGTCGTTATCACCATCTTTCTGGCTCGTAGTTCACGATGTCAATCCACGTTTCCTCTAATGATGCTCTTGAAAATTGTGGCATCTGCTCTTTCCAAACCGACTGCTTTGGTTTGTCAAACCCGATCCACCCGACCTCTTCGAGCTGCTGTTGATCCACTTTCAATCAATCTGCCGTCTTTCCATCTAATCTGTTTACTCTGCGTGGCGATATGACTTCATAAACACTCACGTACCGCGAAACAGTAAATTGCTGTCTTTTGATCACTCTAATGTTACAAACTATTCATGTATGCAACCCCATCTTTCCAATTTTCATCGCCCACGTTCGTACCCTCACCAAAATTGTTCAAAGTTGTGTTATTTTACTCAGGATTTCGACCTCAAGGTTAGGGAAATCACTTTCGGACCACGAATGGACCAACTGTTCAGATGAGGCCTGGTTTTCAGCAAAACACTGGTGTTGCTTCCTCTCCCAGGCGAATTCTGTTCCTTCTGTGTCCCCCGTGTTATCCGTCTCTTGTCGCATGTATTTTGTGCGGGGAATCATGCCTCATAGCACTCGACTCACCTGCCGTTCACTGAACATCATCATAGTCTTGAAATAAAATAATTATCGTGAATGCTTCCAGATCCATCAAAATAGTTACGTTCATTTCGAAAACATGAAAAGCTCGGTTTTCCGGGAGCAACAACAAATGAAAACAAAAAACAAAAGGGAAATTTTCCCGGACAACCACCTAGTGTGACAGCACGCTGACATTTTCTGGCTACTCTCCTTCATGATAGGATCAGGCTCCGGGGAACAAAGTATTATCTAGCGAAATACACTCATTTGCAAAATAATTTGGCTTTGCGACTCACTCGGAACCCAGCTGAATCTCTCGTTTGTGATGTTTCCAGCCAAATGAATGTACTGCACCAGGCCGCCTCATGTTTCAGTTGCTACGATATTCGACATATCGCGGTACATGTATATTCTCAATGCACTACTCATAAGGTTGCTGAAAATTCGTCGACATCCCGCGACTGGTTTCGCCTTCCTTGGAACAAAGTATTATCTAGCTTGGACCGCGGAATTGATCGGATCTTTTCCAGATAAGCCCCGCCAAAAAATTAACCCCCGCTAACAAAAAAACATTAGAATAAAGAGGATATGAAACTTGTACTCTTTGTTTTTATTGAAGAGGGTGAAATTGAAACGTCATTATTAATTTGCATGAAAGGGTCCATTTTTCGGTACCTTTGCCTCCAAACGAACTCACACGAGTAGCTGTGGCTTTTACGGCGAGATATTAGCGTTTCATCGATCTCGACGTGTAGACCTGGGCCGCCGATAACTGTTGGAGTCCGCAAAAGCCGCCAGGAGCAAACTTCCAGCGGTCGTGTGGCTAATAGATGATTCCTTTGAGCAGAATTTGATTTTTGCCAAATCTTCGGAAGAGTAATAAATGAATACAATCACTGTGCTAGAAACTCTTCTGTAGCCCACTACCTTCTTGGGGAGAACATCAAAAACGAGCTATTCAGCTGGATTCCAGTTGAGCTTCCCGTCAAAACCAAGTTGACATGTAGATGAGTGTATAATTTGAAACCGCTCACTTTTGAAGAAACAGGATACCAGTGGCACGAGGGGACAGAGAATAAAGCAAGTTAACTGCTCACTTCTTGAGGAAGACTGCTCTGCGCATTCCCGAANAAGCAACCGGGCTCGTGTCTGCTAACAATTTGGCACGAACTACCTGATTAGGGAACTTCTGAGTTTGCGAGCATCAGTTAGCGAAAAAATAGCAAGTCACGACTAACTTTCAACTGCTGTCGCGATCGAAATCCAACTTGGTGTAGCATGTTTCATTTTTACCGTCTTGTAGGGCGACAGACTACAGTTAAACAGGAGCTGTCGACAACAGCTAATGAAGGCGTTCGCTATCGCTTAAGCTTTAACGAAATTGAGGACTGTAGGCTTCGTGTGTCTAGACGGAGGATATACCAGTTTCTGTACGTATCCATGCCCCATGAGTAAACATGGTTTTAAAGCTTATTCGCTCAGAATAAATAAGCCTTGATGAGACCCACGTGATCGCGCTGTTACATCAGAATACAAGCCAGTCAACAAATGCCGTCAAACTTTGTATTGCGTTGAGTGACGTAGAGATGGAACCTACATGCAGAGACTAACACTAATACGTTCGGTTGTAGAAAAAACGGGGGTGAGTTGCCCTTAATTGTGAAGAACAAATCTCGTTTCGTGTGTCCCCTAATGTCCTTCTTGGAGTTTTTCGATGCAGTTAGAGTGGTTACCATGCGAAGGCGGAAAACCCACCCATCATATATCCACTGTGAAGGTTGTCATTTTTAGTATGAAGCCGCAAGACTCTCCCCTCCTGAGGGTACCGACCACAAAACCACGACTGTCGTTCTTACTATTTAGACTGAACGTGACAAGGGCGACGAGCTGGAATGTTTGAGAGTCACCAGTCTCAATCGCATAATTGCCAAGCGCTTCGGTTTTCGTTCAGCTTTAGTACACTTTCGGTGCCTAACTGTCATGCTACGCGAAGGTTGTACGAGGGCTGGAATATTGCCAGGTTCCCCAAGCCTGACAGGGAAAAGGAAAGAGGCAGAGGTCGGGTTCGCACCACGGACGTTGCGGTCAGTAAACTCGCGCTTTATTTGGCCCATCTCCGTTCTCGACTTTCGTAAATTGCTAACTCCCTTCTTCCCATGCAAAGCATAGGAATTTTAATCCATCCGATGAACTGCAAACGAATGGGTCCGGTATCTACACTACGCTCGTGGACGCGTCACGATCGAGACACCTTCAATAAGGCCTAACGAACAAGCCGTGCACATCTACATCCTGTCAGAATAAGGCCAGCTATCAAGAATGAGAGAACCAACCCGTTGCTTTCTCACAAATGCAAGGACGCGGAAAAACGAAAGGCAGTGTAATCGTCCTTCCAAAACAACTTCATTGTGAAATAGCAAAGGGTACAAAGAACGCAAAGTCACACGGGAAAGACAAACAAGAATCAAGAAACATTCCGAGACATGAGACAAGTGGGGAAAGAAACCTCTTTGCACAACCGCACCGAACCAAACAAAAAGGCCGAGGAGATAAACAAAATTCAAGAGCTGTACAGGAGGACAGTGCAGTGAGGTTAGTTTAGATACTTGGATGCACTCGAACGCCATAGCATATAGGGAATTAGCAAGCAAGGAGTGACCAGCATTGCAAATCCGATCCATTCCATCTGTAATAAATGAAATTGCACAAAGGGTTAGCATAACTGGTGATTGCATATGCACACATAGCTCACATACTGCACACATATAGCTCAGTGGTTAGAACGCGAAATTACTGACCGGAAGGTACGCGGCGGTTCGAACCCGACCTCTGCCTCTCAGATTCCCCTGTCTAGGCTTGGGCAACCTGACAGTATCCCAGCCCCTTTGGGTACCGAAAGCGTGCTACAAGCTGAACGATGACATATTGCCCTAAACAAATGACCACCACCACCACCGCAAATCAAACATTGTCAATAGGACGAATTTATTTATCAGGAACACTGTGAGAAGTGGGAAATCAAGGAACAGTGAGAGGAGAACATGCTAAAAAGGTATCATGAATGAAAGGATGAGTGGTAATTGGGATACCAGCTCACATCAGCATCATGATCATCAGGGATGCAACATAAGTCTTGACACTGATGCTTCACTGCCATATGCCTGAGGTCCGAGTGTAAAAACAGAAAAGAGCCGATGAAGAAGGGGCCTGGGGCTAGGCTCCCGCAGTATTCTGAGGTCCCTACTTCTCTAAGTGTTCAGTTGGACAGTTTGGAAAGGAACTGACAGCAGGAACGCCACTGAAATTGATCGACCGCCACTTATTACAGTGTCACCAACCAAGCACACAGAGGAGTCACGAGGGCCATATGCTAGAAGGCGGATCCAAGCTCTCCATAACCTCTTTCACATCCTCGTAGTTTGTGCCATTCTGAAGATAAATACGAAGAACAAGAGTCGCCTTCCTCGATTGACGAGTATTTAGTTTACACTACCAACTGCGAGATTTCATTTTCGTCGACCTTCAGCAAAACACCAACGAATGGACGGTGACACATCGATTGTTGAAGAAACTTGTGCAAAAAACAAACTCAGAGAGCAATGGGACCAATATGTTGAGGTCTCACATATGTTTTCAGACAGGCAAATCAAAACGCAAGTGACATGGCTGTTTTTGCATCCAAAAGACCCAAAAATGTCGAAAACGAGATCATTTACTAGAAAACACTTTAAGAAACACCAACGTTAGTTGTAAAACTCGTGCAAGTGACGGAAAATAACAGGGTGGTTGTAAAGTAATCAGAAAAAATAACACTAACCGTGTGGGTTGCAAAGCGACGGTTGTACTCCTTGAGAGGGTAAATTATGACATGCCCCGGAGCCGAGGAATAATGCAACTGTGGAAGTAAACAAGTTAGAGGAACAGCCAAATTAGATGGGGAAATAGACAGAGCGAATATCAACTAGAAAAGCCCCAGACACGGTCGAATCAGCATATATTCAGCAACCAAAACCGTCAGAACGATGATCGTGGATGATGGAAATGCGCCGATCTACCACGGTTCGCGGGAATAACGCATCAGCATTTATCCTTAGTACTGAGAAGCGCAAATCTCAACTTACAATAGTCTTGGAAGGATCACCAAGATTGTAGGTGATCGTTGCCGACGTGAAATTGTATGTTCCCGCGGCTTGAGGAAGAAAGACAACAGCATGCGTCACATTTGTGCCAGCAGATATATGGGGCCAGCGAGCGGACTTGCTGCCGTGAATTTGAATGAATTCCGTATCTGAGTAGCTGTCGAACAATTCCACGTCCCTAGCAGGTCGGCTGACCAAGGGGTAAAAAGAAAGCGAAAATGACATAAGAACAACAAATAAGCAGAGAAACACAAGAGCTGTCAGCAGAATGCATGTCCACATAGCTTCAGAAAAGCGAGAAACTCGACTGAACTAGACAGGTACAGTTTTCCAAGTGGGAATTCGTTGAACATGAATGACCACGAAATTTATCTAGGAGTTGGAATACTGCTGTCCGTATCGTTCGAATATTAGCTGCACCGTTTATTTTGTTCGACTGGTCTGACACACTACACACTACATAGATAGCATGACATCAGTGTTCAACACCGATGCTTCACTGGTCTGAGGGATTCAGTACATGAACATTTGGTGCTTCTGTTAGTTGAATGATGTTTGAAGGTTAGAAGAGCGGCTTGGAATTACTCGGCTAGAATGCGATTAACTCTGCGTGCATATTATTTGACTAGTAACTTACAAAGTCGTTGACGAAGACTTGCGGCTAAGTTACACCTTTATCAGGTGTGAGAATCGATAAGTTCAGAAGGTCGACAAGTTTGCCCAGTTGAGGAATGTTAGGGTCCTTTTCAACCACAAAGTTTACCGGTTTTTATCTACCCTGTACGCCCTATAGAAAAGGCAGACCCGTGTGGAAGGAAATTTTGAGGAGTTTATGAAGGCGGGAATGACAACGGATGATTGGGCCTTCCACTCGTCCAGATGAAGTAGAAACAGGAAAATCGTTCAGTTGTAGCACCCTTTCGGTGTCTAACTGCCATGCCACACGAAGGAGGCACGACGGCTGGGATACTGCCAGGTCGGGCAAACCTGGACAGGGGAAGTCGAGAGGTAGAAGTCGGATTCGGGCCGCGGACCTTCCAGTCAGCATATTCGCGCCTTAACCACTTGAGCCATCTCGCCCCAGTAACAGAAAAAGTAAACTCGACAATTGGTATGACAACATAACTGAATATAAGCTAGTGAAACGACTGAAAGTTTCTAGGAAGGGTACAGGTGGTGTAAAGTTGGCGGATCATCTGCAACGCTAGTAACGACAGACAAGAAAAAAATTTCCTACATCCTAACGACGAAAGGGGTTGGAAATCCCCAGTGAGGGACGGTGTAACAGCCAGACCTTTGGCCTCTTTGAATATGATTCGCAATGGAGGTAAATGGAAGAACAGGACAAGCGAGCACCAAGTAACTGATACCCCATGGATTAGTCGTTGACCAACGACGATTTTCGGTAGAGACAAATTCGTCAAAACCAAGCTCAGCTGCGATCTGGCCGGGACATCAAATTAACTTCTCCTTCAGATAGGTTCTTGAACAGCGCCACTCTTTCAAACGTTCGGCATTGGCCGTTTTCCTGATCCGAAGGTACTTTTTAACTGTCGACCGTCAGATACGATGACTATGTATGTCGATTGAAGATGTTCGTTTTAAGTTCTTATCCCTTATATAAGAGTGCCACCTGTGGACAGTCCGAATCCACCGCGTCCGGCAGTGTTGCCTCTCAACTGTTGCCTCTCAACCGCTCTCTACAGTGTGGTCACTTATGTAGTGCTTGAAACTTCTTTGCCTTCCTCTGAAACCCTGGGGTCCAAATGTTTCCAAGGTTTTCCCTCACATATCGAGAACTCAAACGATACTGTGTACCTTGGTTTAGGTCCTTGAGAGACGCAAGCCATGCTAAATAACGTAAACCTTTCCAGAGCGCGGTTTGGTATGCGTTTCACAAGGATGGTGGCACCAAACTCGAACTTCATGGTTGCACCGCAGCTAATCGACATCGTAAATAGGTATATTTATATAAGCTGCTGTAAAAGTTAAGGTGAACTGAATGGAGACGAGATCACTAGCTAGAACAGCTTTTGTAAATCCACTGCGCCGGTTGTATTACGTGTTTCGCTATCAAAGGAATCTATTTTGTATAACGGACCAGAAAAAAGGATTCTACGCCCAGAGGATGTGGGAAAATCCCTGACTACAGGTGTCTCCAAAGAACATCGAACTAGCAATGACGGGGAACGCCAAGTGGCTTGGGAAGAGGCTCTATCGCGACGAGTGAGCTACTCACACTTTATACGTCACGTTGGATAGGACATATAGTGCGCCAGGACTACCTAACTCGCAAAGCTCTTCCCGCCCAGCCCTGTGCTAGGTACGGAAGAGCGACCTAAAGCTGCCACCTTGACGTGGTGGTCGGGCTTGAGTGCTGCAATGATCCCGCGGGCTACACTGGCTGGAACTTCGTTCCACAAGGTCTAACCATGCCAGGAAGGCCAAAGGGGAGCAGCCAGACCAAGAGCAGCGAGACC